ACAGGTTGGACAAGTTCATGGCAAAATTTGGCTCTCCTTGAGCTTACATCAAGGACGATTAACCTGTCGGGAAAGTTGTCTGAATTGATAAAAGAGAAAGCTCTCATCCAGAAATGTGTGCCCATTCTGGTTTGCCAGGACTTTCCGCAAGTACGGCTTTCCATGCAGTTCTGGCCATTGGCCAGGGCCTGTCCTTCAGACACGACCGACTTCAGCGTTCTAGAGCCTTTAAAGGTCAGAAAGCGAACCTCAAAAAAGCCAGGAGCTTTCCAAACTAGCGCCCACGCTGGAGTGTTAAAGTGGAACTTGTTCCACAGGCAGAGTTGCCAGTTTCGTCTCACTCGCGCGAGCAGCGGCTTGCCCGGACACCCTCAGTCGATGTCGAGACAAGCAGTATCCTGCTTGTATTGCTCAGCAAAGCAAAGGAACAAGGTTGCAGACTTTGAACATGTGTCAGTTTTGTTAAGTTTTGTTAAGCTAGCATCAGTAGCTTCTTGAGGCAACCTGGATTTTCAGATCCGATTGCCAGCTGGCAACCAGCTTGCAAACCGCACCTGAACCGCGTAGAGTGCACCGGCTGTGCCGTGAGGTGGCGTCGACTCAAGCGAACCTCGCCGGAGGCAGTTCGTTTGGATCTGCTGTTCCACGGTGCGTGCTGCACTTCCACCGGTCACTTCAACCGGTCTCGAGCACGTTTTTTCCTTGAAGGTCTGGTGGCCTGTGCTTTGAACATCTTTAAACGCAAATCGGCCAGCAGTCTGAAGACTTGTGAGTTGGGCTACTCAGACATTTCAGCAGCTCCTCTGCGGGAAAGCGTGTTCCAGCAAGCATCATTTGCACAGCCACGCGAAAAAAAGCAGAAACACCAGCGAGTGGCAGTCAAGCGTGCGCATTGACACCAGTGGCACGGATGCAGGCATTGACATGAATGTCCGAATACGCTGCTGCATGGGACGGTTTCCTGTGTTTCGATCGTGAGGTGCACCGTAATATGAAAGTCTGGTGTGACGAAGGTCGGCCCTAGGCCAAGCGCGGTAACTTCGGTATCTGTGCCCATGCTGCCAGGTGTTTGCAGGCATGCCCGCCACTGGCTTCAAAACACATGACAGGTCATGGCAACACCGTGCGCCTGCAGCATACCGGCCACCGAAACACTGGCATTCGACACCATCGGACATCAACAGATCGGTCCATGGACATGGGCCAGCCACAATTGCACCCCGCACCCTGGATGTTACACAAGGTGGAATGACAGATGTCAGACTTTGGGAGATGTCGGAGATGTCGTATGGTCGCAACAGTCAATCAGTCGCGCAGGCTCCGACAAGCCAATTCATGCAGTCCATGAGGGGCAGTGTTTTGGACTGGTTTGGACAATTCTGTACTTTCGGTGGTATGCACAACACGCTGCAGGAAGAGTAGTCAGGACCTATGCTCACCCTGGCGCATATCTGCTCGGATTTCAGCAGGATTGGGAGGTGTTGGGGGAAAAGACTTGCAGTTCAGGTATTCCACGAAGTGGGATTGCCAAAGTCTTGCGTTTGCAGACCGGACGAAAGATCAGAACCGACTCTGATCCCAAAGGCCGAGCACATGTGTGAGCGAGGAGAGGCTGTCAGGTTGCATCGAAACGAGAATGGAGGTGAGTTTGAAAGAGTTCATTGACAATACAGCCTGGCTGCCTGACGGGTGAAAGATGTTGACAGGAGGCGCATAATGAAGAACTGGAACACAAGGGCTGGCCAGAAGGGGGTGCTGCCGGCGCTGTCACTTGCAGGACTTGCAGGAGTCTGAGAGAGAATCCAGAATCTGAAGCCAAGGATGGCCAAGGCAGAGCTCAGGACGTGTCAAGTGCCGGTAGGACCATAGGTCGCTTCGTCGCATTCCGTGTCTGCCGCCATGAGGCTCAGAGGGCCCCGAGGCATGGGTCAGCAAAACCTTTCAGTCAGCCAGACAAGCCTCGGCGTTAGGCATTGAAGGGTAGAACGTGCATTTCGTGTAGTGGCGCAGCACGATGCTGGTTGCCAGCCAGCCCGCCACATGGCCGGCGTGTAGTGCGTTCCGCGGTGCCCTCGGCAATCGACACTTGCAACATGACTTCTACAACCCAGATAGGTGTGGGAGATCGCTGTCAGCGCAGAAGCTAGGTGTTGTCCAAGCCTGCTCAGCGACGAGCAGTGGCTCTGCCATCCGGCAGCGAGGTCTGCAGACTTCGAGGAAGCGCCGGGTGGTGGGGTGGGGGGGGGGGGGGGGTGTTGGGTTACTTCTGACATGAATCCGAGCTTGCAGTTGCAGGAGTGCTGCCGCCGTGGCGTTCGCTGTTTGTCTGCAACGACTTAAGACTTTCTTCCGTAAAGTTGCAAGCAGCCCTCCACGTAAAATCTCGTGGTGAAGTACTTGCAGGTTCTCAGCTTCCGACGTCGACGGGCCAGCGAGGTCCAGCGGCCAGCCCAAGGAGGCCTTCGGCTTGGAGAGCGTCTGGCCCCAATCCTTGCCATATTCCGCAGGCGACAGAAGCCAGAGTCCTTCTACTACCTCTGCCGCTGCTTGCGTGGTGGTGTGTGGCATTCCTGGTTCCGGCAAGAGCACGTGCGCCCTCGTGAATTGCGCCTTGCCGCCGGTGCATTCGGCTAGCATGTGAGAAGAGGCTTTGCCGCTTGCTGTGTGCTGCATTTGAAGACAGCACGTGGCTAAATCAGGCACGACTGTTTGCGCATCAAGATGTGATCCCATGAGTCTGACTGTCATGTTCGCAGGACCATTTTCCCTCGGGACCGAGAGCCAAAGTGCAGTTCTTGAGGCTGCAGTCGTTCCCCCACCATGCAGTACACGCCGATGCTACCAGCCAGCATTGCGCCAGGGGGGTGCAGAATGGCTTAGATGCCGCGATGCGGCCCGGCCGTGTCCGCCTCAGCATCCACCTTCGCTGGAGGGTGTCGGTCCACCACATGTTGCAAACTTCCTGCATTGGTGGAGAGTGCAGTTTACGGCCAAGTTATGGTGTTGAGGTTCAGCGTTGGTCTGCGTAGACAAGGTGAATGTTCAGAAGGCCCAGATCTTGTATAAGGATTTTCAATCTAGCAGCGGGGGGGGGGGGGGGG